AATTAGTTTTTAAATTAAATTTTATTTTAAAAAAAAAAAAAAGTTGTCCATAAACTTTTGTCCATCCTCTGTATTTATAATAATAATAATAGTTATAATAATATTAATAGTAATAATTGTAATAGTAATTATTATAATACTAGTGATAATAATAGCAATAATATAATACGTTTGTTTCATTAGTTTAGTAATAACATAGAAACCTCTTAAGATACAACAATCCTACATTAAATAATACTATTTAAAGGTTTGTTAAATTATACAAGCAATGTTAACTTATATAAGATACTTATATTTGTTTAATTATGGTTTCTTTTTTTCCTAATTGTAATAAAAATATGGGTTGAATTAATAATAAGTTATTGATATAATAGAAAAAAAATACGATTAATAGTCTTATAATATAAACGAGGTTTAAGCTGTGGACTTAGAAAAGTGCAGCAAGAAAAACCTAAGCTATAATAAAAGAATTAAATAAATTTATTATGCTATTACAAAAAAAATATCAAGCTTTATTAGATAAAAGTCACGTGACCATAGTCTCACAGCCTTTTCGCGCTTGATTACATAATACTGTATTGAACTTTATAGTAGCCACTATTACAATCCTTTATTTGTAAGATTCCTCATTTTTCACATATTCTATAGAAGAATAGAGATTGTTATACTTGCTAAATGTTAATGATGGTTCTCTTAAGTGACAACAGTAAAGAGACTTGAAAATTTGATTTGTGATTATCAATACGCTGACATTTTTTTTTCGAATCTACCAATCACCAACCTGTTAAAAAATGAATTTAATTCGGTATGCCTCATTCCCGAGAATGTTTGTATTTTTGAAGAGCCCACATAAAATTCTTGGAAAAAAAAATGAAATTACCAAAAAAAAAAAAGGAACTTAAAAAGACAAGACACGGAACGTTCATAACAATCAATCTAATGAAACAAGATACAGGGTGCAAAAATTTATCTAAGCATTCTCAGTGCAGTCTAATTTTTCTTGTAATTCTCGCACAATCATCTCTAATTCATTACGCCCGAGCGTATTTCTTTCAAACAATTCTAATTTCACCTTTGCCTCTTGAATCTTTTTTTTCAAGACTTCATTTTCTTCCTCGATTCTTTCCACCCTGCCTTCTAGCCTCGTAATATATTCTTTTCGACGTTCCCGGCATTCTTTGGCTGCTATGCGATTACGCTCCAATTTAAGAGCCTGTTTTTCTTTTTGCATTCGATTCTTTTCCGGAACAATGGCGCCGTTATCATGAGGCTGAATAATTGGCGGTGGAAGCGTTATAGGTCGACATAATAATGGGGAAGGATCAAGAGTAAGAGGTTTATATAGGTGAGCATGAGGTGCCTGGTGAAATGGACATGAGCGTTGAGATGATCGAGTCAGATAAGAAGTTTGAAATTGAGACTTTAAAGAGGAATCGGATAGTTATATGCTGGAAGTTGGAATCTGTACCTTTGTTGGAATTTGCGAAACGGGAAGAGATTGTGGATGAATTTGTTGAGTCGGATGCGAATGGATATACGAATTTTTTATTGATCGAATAATTGGGGTAGGTGGGCAATTAATCGCGGGCAATGTCGCATGAAATCTCTGAGGAGCCGTTTGAACATTATTATTTGTCGTTTGATGATGATGATGGTGATGATGATGATGATGATTGTTGACGAGAGGCGGCAAAACGTAGTTGGTGAATTGCTGTCCATTGGATACTTTGACCACTGATGGGTTAAATGGCGCGTTATAAAAGGTAATTGAATTCACAGTGTTTGATGGATTTCCTTCACCTGTAGCATCACTAGTATTATTCGCAAGAGCTTTTAAATTGGTCTCATTTTTTTGGCATTGCGCAAGGTTGTTCATTTTTGTTGGTTTATTTAAAATTTATGTTAAGATCAGCGAAACTTAATTGATTTTAGGATAATTCATATAACTTGTGAAGGTGATCTTTATAGATCGTGAATTTCTCGATAAAAGTATACTCCTGAAGTTGATGAATATATATACATGAAAAATTGTGAGTATTATGACCCTCAATCATACTACATGGATGATATGGTCTTACAAGTGATGTCATATCAATTGGTTTTCCCCTTCTTTGAGCGATATGGTGAATTTCTCAAAGTCTGAGTCTATTGTAAATGAATCTTATCGATCATAATAATTGTAGTCATGAAGAACGAAATAAAAACTCAAGTGATGTCATTATTGTTTCGAACGGGTGATGTCAAAGAATGTCGGAAGTAACATTTTATGAATTTATATGGCTTGCTCAAGATTATTATTATAGATAACAGTTAGTTACAGTATATATTACCTCATTTCAGGATGTAATATGCCGTTGGTTGAACCACATTATTTAGCCCATTAAAAAAAAAAAACTTATCAAACTTTTCAAATGGTATAATTTATCTTTATAACTTAAAGTATATTTTATTCAATTTATTGTGTTAAAAACGCATTGGAAATATTTATGATCCTGTGGATCATTATTCTTGGAAGCTTATCTCCACATTGCCCTTGAAATTGAATCCAATATGAATAAATAAAGTTAGTCTTTACTATGCATATCGTATCCCATATAGGTTCAAG